GTACATAAGGCACATGGAACTTGAATTAACTTCTAAAGAAGCTTTGTAGCATCTAAACAATCCAGTGTTCTCCAAATAGATGGTTGCCTGATTTCCTATCACTTGTTAGCTGGGTAACTCTGAACAAGGTGGTATATCTCTGGACCATAATTTCTTTGCAGAAAACAGTGCAGACCTCCCTGGATCATTCTGAGACTCCAAAGTATCATAGGAAAGAATATTATGAGTTATAAAGATGCCACCAGATACATGTTCATGTCTAGGGTCCCTTGCTGACTCTTCCTCCCAGAGCCACCCAGACAGAAGCCAAGTCACTGGCTCTGCACCGTGCCATGTCCCCGTGCAGCTGAAAGGACAAGGCAGGGGACAATCACCCCATGGAACTGCTTGATGGCTCCTGGAACTCTGCTTAGGGAAGGTGAATGGTTCATGCATCCATCACTTATATAGCACTCTCCACATGCAGGCTGTCTTCTAGCTAAGCAATTTGCACAACCTTATAAGAAACCAAGGCACAGAGGGGGTTAAGTAACTTGCTCAAGGTCAAACAGCTTATAAACAACCCAAGATTTAAACTCAGGCCACCTGGCTCCCCAGCAAGTGCATACTCATTGCCTTTCATCTTCAATGCCCATCAAAGAACAACGTGATAAACTATGACATTCCCAAGTCCTTCCTCCTTGAATGGTCTTTCTCGTGGTGTTAATTCAGCCCATACTTACAAAAGGCGGCTGGTAAATCTGTATGTCTCTGAAAACCAGATAAATTAAAAGAAATAAACAGGACTAAGCATTTTCAATACCCAGACAGCCGAACTTATAAACACCTGAACATCATAGCTTTAATTCACGTTTTGCTTTTTGGCAAGTTCTCTCTCATTCAGCTCCTGTGTGTTATGGGTTCTGGCCCCGAGCCCAGCCAGCCTGGGCTGCCTGCAGTGCTGCAGAACCTAGTAGCCAGCAGAAATAAACTCTCATTGATGGCTCTGGGAGGCTCAAAGGCTACCTTGGATTAGCCCAGGGACAAAAGGGTGACAATAACAAGCTGCATGACTGTAGGAGACTTATCTGGCAATATATCTTTCCTTTTCAAATCCCCTGTGATCATGAACCAAGCCATTACCAATTATTTTAGTAGGACTCTCTTTCTGATTTCTGACTTATATAGCAAATGCTAGCAACACAGAAAAAAGGAAAAAAACAGATGGAGGTCATGCCCTCTTTCCAATCCACAGTCTTCCCAATTGGAGTTGACCACGTGTCTGTAGCGGTCTGCTCGGCTGTCCTGACCTATGTAGCTTCAAGTCTCCCTGGCCAGTCTTTAATAATAGCTTCTCAATAGACAGTGGTTGAAGAAATAGAAGTGAAGGGCACATAATACTCTTTCAATAAAGATACAACCTACTCATTCGTCTTCAGCTCAATCTGGCTTCTGAAATGTTACTTTGAAAGTTCTAGGAGAGAAATGGAACAGGGCAGTGGGGAAAACACAAGAGGAAACTGCAATTATTCATATTTTACAAGTTCTGAAAGAGCAATTGCCTCTCCTACTTAGATACCTCTCAACATACATCGTATGTCTACAGAGCTTTGTGAGCAGTAATTTTCTACCTGGCAACTGAAGCCTTCTTTGTTCATTAATTTAATCCACACTTACCAAACATCTACCATCTGCTAGCCTAGGTGCTTTATATTTATTATTTCATTTAGTTCTCAAAAGGAAGTGCAATTATCTAAATTTCACAGCTGAAAAACTGACACCCAGAGGTTTTATATAACCTGGCAAAGTCACCCAGCCAGCAACAAGCCAGTGTGAATACAGGTCAGTACCAACAGAGACAGTCTGTACTCCTGTTCCACAGTTTCCAGTGGAGTGGCTCACTCAGAGGCCACAGAAATACAAAGCATTTGGGATTGCATCATCACATGCCAGAAGAAACTCAATAGTGAGGCCTTTGGTCATTATTTAAGGTCCTCACAATACATCACAAGTAAGGGAGCTGAGGAATGTCTGAGTTTCTTGTTCCCATGCCACATGTAGACCCGGCCATCCATTCTAACTTGCCCTGATAGGAGGATGCTTGCTGCTGGCATTCAGGACACTTGGTCTACTAATTTGCACCTGCAATGTGCTGTGAACATCAAAAAGATGTGTAAATAAGACCTGGGACTCAAAGAGCCATATACTCTTTCAATCAATTAATAAATCAAGGAGAATTTTTCACACAGAGAGAGGAAGGCAGTGTTAAGCATGGCATTAGCCAAGCTCAAGGTTCCCAAACAGAACATCCAGGAAGACTGGGGTCTTCATAGACCCTGTCTGGGGGTCTGGTATGACTTGAGGAACCTCTCCCTCTGTTCCTAGTCCCTCATGAATAGCCCCTAACCAGCCCTTCATGCCCCCCACTCAAAGGAAACCACTCAACAATGTCATGGATGACCTCCACAACCAACAGTCACTCTCGGGATTCCTTTAACTTGACCTGTCAGCAGCCATTTAAAAGTAATTAACTAAGGTATTGCAGTTCACACAGATGACATGTACCTGGGAAATGGCCTACAGTGAGCACTTACTATTTTTTATAAAAAGTCATCTTTAAAGTGTTAAAGCAATAAATGAAGACTCTGCTAAAAAAAAAATCACAAAACCTAAGAGGGCAGAACAACTTCATGTGGATCAGTCTAGCTAAAGGGACAGTTGGGCCAAAGTCTGGGATGGGGAAGCACACTGAAGCAAAGATCAACCTAGAACCCTACAAATAACAGGGTACAATGAAGCCGGCCAGCAGGGACAAACAACCTATTCTCTGTGTAAGTTGTCTGCCTCTCGTTGGGGATTTCCTGCAGGGAGCACAGACTCCTACCGGTAAAGGCCCCAGATCTAAAGGGTGGTCTACTTCATAGCGAACCATTTCTTCTGCAGGGGGTGAGGGTCTGGAAACAAGGCCATGAATGGACAGAAAACTGAGGCTAATGTCACTTGCCTGAAACGTCTCCGATGACATAATACATGGCAAAGATCGCCTGATATCAATCCACTATTGTCACGAAGGGGTGACGAATGTGGTACCTGTGCTGCCACTCACCCTGCCTATGCCCGTGAGCCACAGCTAAAAACATGGCACTTTCCCACTGTGCCCAGACTCAACTGCAGAATCCTTCTCAACACAGTGCTCCTAGCAACTACTACCAATAGACAGCTGCTGGCCTGGCGGGTGGGGTGGGAGAAAGAGCGGAAAACATTTACACCCATGCCACAGAGGAAAAATAAGTCTTTATGTCTACAAAAAAAAAAAAACCATCGCAAGCACATTAAAGTGGGAGATTGTAAATAGAAAAGAAGGCCATCTGATGAATGAACAGGTGATGACCAACCTTTCTAAATCAGGAAAAGTCAAAGGCATCAAACACATTTCTCATTCTTTATGATATAACCTCAGAGAAAGCTCTATGGAAACCAAACCAATTTCAAATAACACACCACCCCCGCAAACAAAGTTTCTGTAGTGTTCAGTCCTGAGATTTCACTGGACTGCTCCAATTCCCATGGTGTTATAAGCTCTGGCTTAAGTAAATCATGTTCTCCCCCTTTATCCAAGGAGGATAAACAATAGATGCTACTAGGTACAAAGTTTAGGGGGGAAATCTTCATGTGGCTCTAAACCCAACCAGAAATTTGGCTTGGGGAGAGAAATACCCCCCGGAAAGCTGACAAAGGGAGTAGGCATAGCTACCCTCATGAAAATGGAAGTCCCAGGGAGCCATGATGTATCAGCCAAGGACTATTTTTAGTCATGGTTTAAATCCCAGCAGAAAGTAATGACTGTACTGAAAAAAATTCTTCTTAACCCCTCAGGAGAGATCTTGGAGGACTCCTCAAATGTCAGGCCTATAGCAAAATCTAATTTGGCTAGAGTCATAGATTCTAATAACATGAGGCAGTATTGTGCGGTGGCAAGCTCCCTGTCCCCAGCAGCATTGGAATGGAGAGACCCAGGACCATGTGTTATAGATGTGTGGACATGCCTGCAGTAGGAGGTTGCCAAATTGCTGCTTCCAAAACTGGAGCCAAAACCTCTGGGCCAGTTCTTAGGCCGGTGTTTCCCATGGGGCATCAGCAAAACCAACAGAGCCAGTGGATACCAAAGAGACTCAGAGGCTGCCTTGGTGGTAAAACAAGAGCTTTGGGGCTGCCACTTTCTCTCTCTCTCCACTTAACTGAAGGTGGAAGAGCTGTAATGATTAATGAGCATTTTCTGCCACTGATCTCAAACCAGCAAATTCTGCCCAGGGGGATTTATTAGAAAGAAAACCAAAACCAAATCAAAACAAACAAACAAAAAAACCCCTCAGATAATTAGCTAACTGTTATTTAGGAGTTAATTATTTAGTCCTTTGACTCACTTTTTTACTCTTCCTACTTTTGGCCACTTCTTCATTTGTTGAGGAACAGAGCAGGTGGGACTTAAAGTCGCTGTTAAGGCAGCCTGTGGTTGGAAGGTGTCATAAATAAGGTTTGGTAAAGGGAAGGAAGGGGAAAATGGGGGGTATCATAATTACTGGAAAAGCAATTGTTTTTCTGTTTGGTTTGTAGGGTAAAAATGACCGTGTGGGCTCTGGAGCAAAACAGACTGAGTTTGGGTTGCTTGCTCTGCCACTTACTAGCTATTTGTCCTTAAGAAAGTAACTCGGGATGGGGGGGGGTCTGACTCAGCTTCCCCATGGAGGAAATAGGGATATGAATCTCTGTGTTGGAGGACAGTTGCAAGGACTGAGTAAAATAATGCAAAGAGCAAGGTACAGTTCTTTCCACCTGGTAGGCACTGAAGCTGCATTATTAAAATCATCTAAAATGTACTTGTCTTGTGTAATTAAGATATGACTGGAAGCAAATGATCTTAAACTGAGAAGTAGGTGTTCCCAAGTAAATATACGTACTTAAATTTGCAACCTTCCTGACTTAAATTTGCATTTTAAAAGTTGCATTAGTTAAAACTTCACCTGCCGACTTCCCTGCTTGGAGGAGCAGCTACTTGGGCTCCTTGACGGGGAGACCAATTTTGGGGACACTCCGAGGTTCTTCTCATCACTCATCATGAGCAGTGGGTCACGTGGCCTCGATGCAGTCAAAATGCCATCAGAAGACAGTGGAGCAGAGACTATGGAAATTCCAAACAGGCAGGGGGCTCAGCTCTTATCCAGTAAGTGTTGAAAACATTTTGGATGATCCAGAGGAAATCCCTAAAATCAAAGAAAAAAATTGGAGAGGTCAGAGGCATGTGGCATCATTTATGATTAGCCACTGACTGTCTGTAAGTAGGTTACCTACAGGACAGATACAGAGCCATGAGGCTTAGCTACACCAAGGACTGTAAAGGAAAAGATGCTTTCACACCTTCCTCTTCTTAGAAATTATGTGTACGTGACTTTTTATGTAGCTTTGCAATAGGAACAGTGAGTAGTAAAAAAGTTTGAGTCCAGAAACATACAAAATCAGTCGTATTAGAAACCACCCAAACCACAATGAGATACCACTTCATACCCACTGTGCTAGTTATAATAAAAAAATTTTTAAAAAGCAACAGAAAATAACAAGTCTTAAAAGAAATTGGAGCCTGCAGGCATTGCTGCGAAGGATGTAAAATGAGCAACCATAGTTGAAAACAGTTTGGCAGTTTTTTAAAAAAATTAAATATAGACTTATCATATGATCCAACGATTTCACTCCTAAGAAGAGACCCAAAAGAATAAAAAACAAACAAAAATTTGTACGGGAATATTCATAGCGATACTATTCACAATAGCTAAAGGGAGAAACAACCCAAACGTACAACTGATGAATGGCTAGACTACATATGGTATATGCTATGGTATAAATGTGCGTGCCCCCCCCCCAAATTTATATGCCCTGAGTGATGGTGTTAGGAGGTGGAGCCTTTGGGAGGTGCTTAGATACTGAGGGCAATGCCTTCGTGAATGGGATTAATGCCCTTAATGGGATAAAAGAAACCATGCAGAGCCCCCTAACCCTTCCACCAGGAGAGGATATAGCAGCACGCCTGCTACTCTAGTACGCTGGCCCTCTGACCATGCTGGCACCCTCATCTTGAACTTCCAGCCTCCAGAACTGTGAGAAATAGATTTCTGTTGCTTATATGCCACCCAGCCTGTGGGATTTTGTTACAACCAGTGGTCTGAAGGAACTAAGAGAGTGTACAGAGAGCATTCCATACAATGCAATATTATTCAGGAATTAGAAAGAATGAAGTACTGATATATGCTATAATATGAACGAACCTTGAAAATGTTACACTAAGTGAAAGAAGCCAGTCACAAAAGACCACCTACTGTCTGCTTCTGTTTACATAAACTACCCAGAGTGGTCAAATCCATAGAGGCAGGAGGCCAACTAGTGGTTGTCAAGGGCTGGTGAAGCTGGGGAGTGGGGTATGACTAATTGATGGCTGCAGGTTTTCCTTTTAGGGTGATTAAAATGTTCTGGGTCTAGATAAGAGTGACAGTTGCAAAACATTATGGATGTACTAAATGTCACTGAATTACAATAATTAAAATGATTTAAAGGTGAATTTTATGTCATGTGTACTTTACTGCAACTTTTAAAAATCTTTTTTGGGAGGAGGGGATAGGAGATTTGTTTTACTAAAGGTTTTTGGAGATGTCTCTTAAAGAACAAAAATTATTACATGGCATGACAAAAACCAAGGGGGAAAGCAGAATTTTTCCATATCATCTATTAGCATATTAGCCATGAAAACAAACAATGATCATTTGTTGGTTTCCCATACATATTGTGTCATTTAATCAACATTCTGATGGGAGAGCATTTTCTTTATTTTCCAGAGGAAGAAACTAAAACACGGAGTCTCTGAGAAGTTAGGTAACTTGCCTAATAACACAGCTGGCAAGAGATTGAACCTGGTTATAGCCCGGGCCTTTAACTTTGGTGCTGGAAGTTAGCAAGTCCATGGCCAGGCAGGGGATACCAGCTAGTACTCCCTCTCTGGGACCTGAGAGAACTGAGGAGCTGGACTGGGGAGACTGGGAGCGAGCACATCATCATAACCCAGATCCGAAGAGGCAGCAGCACCTCATTCCTTCCCATGCACAGCACTGCCCTCAAAGATGGCAAAGGGTCTGTGGTGGGGAAGGGGAGCCACCAGGATGCAAACAGGGACACCCTAAAAGTGTTAGCTGGGCTGCCATCTGCCACCCCTGCATCATTTTAGGGCTGGGCTACTGCCTTCACCCACTGAGTTAAGGGTGATTAACGTGCTTCATTTGAGCTTCAGAAGGCCAGATCTTCATTTGAAACACTAGTAGTTTCAAATAAATTCTACAACTTTCCCAAACATGTTAACAAAAGAAAAAAATATATCTAACCCATTTGATTCTTCCTGTTCACACAGTGTACTTTAAAAGGAAAGTGTTACATAATTGTCCAGGAATCAGCTAGTTAGATATTGTATTGTTTGAAATTGCTCTGCCTAATTTCAGAAGCTGTAACCCACCTCCCATGGCTAAGGCTGAGTAAAGAGATCTTGGGACCATAAGCCACTAAGGAGACAAAGCTTATCTTTCTGGTAAGGAAACCACCTCTGCCCCCTTTTACTTCACCCTGCTTGGCCCCAAGAGAATGACTGGTTAGACAATGACGGATAAGATTCCTCAAGGGAGGGATGACCTAAGACAGGCACAGTCACAAAGGGGCCCTCAGAGAAGGACTTGGGGGGGCTACAGCAAAAGGAGGTGATGGGCCCTCACCCCTTGGCTTTGACATAGCCTGAGTCCTCATTCTCTCTATGAGAAGTTTCCTAATTTCTTGGCTGCCTTACTTCCCCTGCCTGACTTAAGCCTGAAACAGTGCCTCCTGTGGGCACAGCCCTGTGCTGGAATGGGTGATTCCCCTGGACGATCAAGCCTAAGAAAGAATGCATAAAATCCTGTGAAACCTGCTTTGCTAAGGATGCCCTCAATTTTCTGACAAGTGTCCAAGTATAAAATAAGTTTGTTTCCCAAAGTTTTATGGCCCTTTAGCTAGCTGACCCTGACTCAGAATAAGCCCTCATAGTTCTTTGAATGTTATCTAGTATTTGATCATTACTGCTTGACAATGGTGAATGAAGATCTTCCTTGAGGTAATGCTCCCAGAAAAGCAATAAAAGCCTGTCCAGGCACCAGTTGGGGAGCTCTCTCACCCAGAGACTGGCCGTGCCGTCCCTTTTTCTCCACAGGACTTCTGTAGTCCATGTGAATTTGTTTGTCGCATCCACAACACTGCTGGTTGGAGTCTACATCGTTGTATCAAACTTTTGGTTAATTATTAAGTAATTAAATCTCCTCTGCCTTTCACTAAAACTTAGTTCTAAATAAATAAATATGCTAAAGCTATAAATTGAAACCAAGACCATGAAAGAAAATAAAATCTCAGACAACAAAATTAAAGTGCCTGTAGTTATAGAGCTCAATTCCCATGTTGCTTCCTTAGAACCCCCCAAATCTCTGTATGCATTATGCATGGGATCCAACACTGGACCAGCCTCTTCACAAATGTAGCCTTACTTTGGGGCATGACTAATTGTACCTGAAGTTAGAAGCAAATGCAATCTAGTTAACAACTGCCAAGAGAGGCTGTGATGATATATTAATGGTTTATTTAACAACAGCCTTGGCTGTTGCTGTTTAAGATCTTAAAAATGGTGAAATGTGAGGGGAGCAGCCGTCGCTATGATGACTGATTCCATAGTGGCTTGGGAATGCCACCAAATGCTTCTGCTATTGTTTCTCAAGGCTGAGATTCTAACAGTCAGTATGGGATGAGGTGGCACATGACCTGTGAAGAAGAAAAAGAAAAGCGCCCTTGGGCAATAAAATATGAGTCACGGGAACTCTGAAACTGAAAAATCAGAAGCACCATTACCCTGCGGTAGAGACAACCGAGGAACGGGGTCATCTCCTTGTCTTTTAACTCCCGCCAAACTTCCCTTCTCAGGTGCCAGCTGCCAAGGCCAGGGCTGTGAGCAGGTCACATGCCCAACCCCTTTCAACTGGTACTTAATGTTAAGACTTCTGCAAAAACCACCGTTGGTGGCCACACCCACTTCTCTTTCTCTCCTTTGGGGAAAAGAAAGGGTGAGAATGCACAGCCCTGCCCCCACACCCATTGGGGTGTGTCTGGAATTCTTGCCTAGGAAAATAGATCTGTTTCATCCACCTCCAAGAACCTGCCTGTCTAGCCTCGAAGGTACAGAAAATAAGTAGCATAGACAGTAGATAGAAAATAGATGGGGGGGGTCAAGAATAGCATGGGGAATATAGAATCTAAAGGACTTGAGACACATGGTCATAAACTAAAGGGGGGGTAATGGTGGGGACGGGGGGTAGGGTAGAGGGGAATGAAGGGGGGGAATAGAACAACTGTAACAGCATAATCAATAAAAAAATTTAAAAAAAAGAAATTCTGTTAAAATTACCAAGAGCAGCTTAAATGACAAAAGAAGTCAAATTCAGGGGAAAGAATTTGCTTAAAGCAGGGCAGCTGAGGGAATGAAGGCCATGGTGACCCTGGGGGTAAGGTGGTTACTGGGGTGAGGTGGCCACTGCTTCCAACCTAGAGAACTCTGAGGGCTGGCCTGGGGGGTGACCAGAGGGAAGACCTTGAAGGGAGTCCCGAAGCAGAGGGCCTTGACCAGGAAGTCAGACAGAAGCCTTGTGCCTTCTACTCCGTGAAGCTGACATCACCGCGCTGACCCAGCAAAATGGTGAAGGAAAGCACTGTGGGGAGACGGATCACGTCCAGGGGCCAGGCCACCAATTCGGGGTGTTTGAGAGGATGCAGGGGACACAAATGAAGACCTTCGTGTGATTTTACCCTCCCTTCAGCCCTTCCGTGGAAAACCTCTAACTCCAGGGGTTTGAACAAAACACAGTAGTTCCCCTGCTTATCGACTATGAACGACCTATGGACAATCATTCATTTTCCCCTTTATTTTTTTACTGAGACATAAGTTGCACATAGTAAAGTGAACAAATCCTAAGGGCACAGACAGCTCTGTGGAATTTTACCTTTGCAAATGCTGCCACCCCCACCCAGATGAAGAAATGGAGCACGTGCAGCCTCCCCAGAAGGTTCTCCATCCCTGGCCCCTGATCCAACTGGTGGGGGCCAATCTCTCTGCTGAACGATGCGGTACCTGTCCAGGGTAACCTTCTCCTGCAAATAC